CGGGACGGGATGGCCTCTGCTTTTCCTTGTTCAGGAATTATGGCCAGAGCTCCCTTATCAACCTCCGCTGATTCGGAGGATTGTTGTATCACAACATTATATCACACACAGGCTAATTCCTCTTCTCCTTCTTCGATCTCATCCCTTAATCGGTGGATCGAGTCCGGAGGCATAATACCATAGCCCCCTCTTGGGCTTGCGAGATTTCTTCGTTGGTTTTTTTTTCCGAGACCGGGGAACTCGGAGACTCTTTTCTTTTCTTCTCTTTGACCTGCTTCGGAGCAGGGACCTCTTCGTTACCAAATAGGGGCCTCATGACAATGTCCTTCCCAAGGCCTACAAAGGAAAAAAGCGGGGTAAGCAAGAGAAAAAGATCAAACAATAAACAATCTAAGAAAGAGGCTTACCATGACTATGGGCCTCCCATCGACACTTCGATAGTTCCATCCAATTGCGCTCGGAGTACAGTCTCTGCAGCACCAGACCTTCAACCCATTGTTTAAGTTCTGAAATCGGTTCCGGCATCCGGGCCATAGATGTAACAAGCATAGGAAAAGTGGATCAAGAAAATGAAAAGCGGAACCACAAAATTAAATGTTTGAAGGGGAATAATACTTACGATTCATTTTCCATTTCTCAGGAAGCGGCATGTCATCAATAGAGATCAGGTCCGAAGTTCTAGCTCGAACGAATCGGCCCATCCAACCTTGGTCACGAGTCTCGTCTATGCTCAAGAACGGTGCTTTGGTGGCTCGGCGAGCAAGTTTGATTAGCCCTCCTCGATAGAGTCGGGGACTGTAAAGGCGCATGAGGTGATCGAGGGTTAAAAGACTCCCCTCGATTTTGCTCGAGATGAATCGGAGGAGAATCACTATTCTCCAAAAAGAAGGGTGGATCTCGCCAAGGGTCATGTCATATCTCTTGCAAAAGGCGACGCTAATAGGGTTTAAGGGACCCAACGTGAAGGGATAAGTACAAACACTTAAAAAACCCTCCACATAGGTAGTAATTAATTCTTCAGGCGATGGGACTACCATGTGCTTGTCGTCGCCCTTTTTTACCTTGTCGAGGATTTTCTCGGTGATTGTGCACTAATACCTCGAGATCGGCTCACATCGGCCCGGTATCGAAGAGGGTTTTTCAACCTTGAAATCGGTGATGGTTGAGCACCCTACCAGAACGAATTCCTCAGGGTAAGGCTCCACTGCATCCTCGCCACCGGCGGATCATGATGAAGAAGCGGCCTCTTTTTACGGCACTGTTTTGGAGGTTTTCGTCATTAATGATCAAAGGAAAAGAGAATTAAGGTTGTATGTGATGTGAGAATTATGAAGCAAAAGGATTTTTTTAAGAAGATGTGAAAGTAGAGAAGGAATTTTGAGTGAAAAGTTTTGAATGAATATGAAGGTTTGAATACTTATAGGCTGATAATGACGATTCAAAACTGGTGGCTGACCAACGACTGACAAGCATTTAATGCCTTGGTAACTGAACCGATGGGACATTTGCCACATACGTCATAATCGGGCTCTTCGCTGACGTCGTCACCCACCGGGTCGGAGTTTGAAAATTCATATCGTTTCTCGCCATCATCTTTCCGAGAAACGAGTGGACTATCTGTATACGGTCAAAAACGAGTTTGCCCTTCGTATGAATAATCGAGATTGGAACATGATAAGACCAAGGTTCAACTTCGTGTAAAATTAAGTCATGATACGAAGTTAGGTTGCCGAGCTCGAGACCCAGGACCGATCAAGACAGAGACCGGCTAAGATCAAGGTTGAGCAAAATAGAGACCGGTCAAGATCGAAGTCGGCCAAGATCGAGATCGGACTAAGTAGAGACTGATCGAGGCTGAAATCGGCCCCGATCGAGGAAAGCTTATCGAGCCAAAAATAGAAAATCGGAATATCCGCAATTGGGCGAGAATCTCGGCGGAAATCCCAGCGCATATTAATGAGGGGCCAATTAATTAATCTATCATGGGATTCCCTACTGTATTTAAAAATTATATTAAAAATAGAACTTCCCTACTATATAAAGAGGGGTATGATTATTTGTAAGGGGCAGATTCATTCAGATTCATAGAATATAAAGCAATATACTATCTTCTTTTGGTTTTGATATTTGGTCATTTTGTTCTTCTATCAGCTGCTCTCAATTCAGTTTGAGAGTGAACAAACTTGAAGGCTTAGGCTAATTAATCTTTTTGGTTTTGTATTCATTTCTTTCACAATTAATTTCGATACTCGTTTATATACTTTCTCAATTTGTACCGAATTTATACCACGTATTCTTAAAATCGCGTATAAATTTAATTTATTATCCGTTTTTCGGGTAAATAAGTTGGGCAAATCTTGATCAGTTCCGTTTTACTTGTTCACTATTGATTTTTCATTACCCTTTAAGAAATAATAAATGAAGTATATAATTTATCATTATATTTATATTGATTGATGCATATTTTTAATAGTTTTGAGAAAATAATTTGAAATGAGTAATTAATATTGTGGGTATAATTGAAAAAAAATTGTCTTTTTTTGACATGCTAAAAGTGACAAGTAAAAGTGAAAAGGCAAAATTGATATTGATTATTGGAAAAGCATTTTAGTACGAAACAAAAATCTATCAAACCTTACTAAGCCAGCATAATATGCCAAACATAGTAATTAAAGACAAAGAAGACAAAAGCCTAAATTTTGGCGTAACCGTGTGCTATTTAAGCAATTAACTCGACCGACTTTAATGTGGGAATCAAAATCCAACGACCCAGTCCACGTTCGTCGTTAAAAAGGGTAATTTACAGGGGCGGCCCAATCCTAAAGCGAGTGAAATACTTACTAAAGAGTAAAAAAAAAAATTTAAAGTTGAATTGTTATCAAATATAGAAAGAGACTTATTAAAAAAAAAAGAGTTACTTATGTTTTCTGGGTTCTCCCATTTCAGTTGCGATGCAATCAATGTTAAATTCATTTAATTTTCTATATTTTATAAAATTAAGTTCTTATTTTTTTAATTATACATCCTCATTTGTTTTATTAAAATTTTGCTTTAGGCCTCCGATGAAGTTGGGCCGCCCCTCTAAATGAGATAACAACAGTGTGATCCTTATCCCATGTAAGTTGTAACTAAATTAATTTGGTTCGGAAAATGTGAAGGAAAGATCAAGTAGAAATGTTGTGACGAGTTACACTTTGAACAGAGAAACTACAAAACATTTCAGTGAATATAACCGTATTAAATAAAATAACATTTATAACGATACAAACTCAAATCTCCCATATGTGAAATTCATTTATTACTTCATCAATCTTTAAGGTCGATAATATTGACAACATAAGGTTGGAAGCTAACTTTCCTATGTGCTACAACAGTTTTACTCCTAACAGGGGTGTACAAACCGAATCGGAAAATCGCACCAAACCGAAAAGTCAAACCAAACCGATTAAAAAATCCGACTAAGTTTGGTTTGATTTAGTTTGGTATTGAGTAAAAAAATCCGAACCAAACCGACATATAAATATATAAATTTTTTTATATAATTTTAAGACTTTATATAGAATTTTATTTAAGAATATCTAGAAATATTTGAGATCCTCTCATGGGATATAATATTTAATAGAACTATAAAGTGCATTCATTTTTATTTACTTTAAATAATAGATTGTAATACTTTTTTATTATGTGTTATTGAAATGCGCGAATCATCTCTTTGTTCTTTTATATTCATATGTCAAAATTTATTATATGTTTTTCGAATTTGAAGTGGTATTTCGATAATCTAAAATTACATAGAACATATCATTATTTAGGTATCATATTGATTTTTATGTTTAATTATTAAATTTGGTTAATCTTGAAAGCGTACATCAACCAAAAATTATTGGTAGACGACTAAGAAAATAAACTATTATGTGTTACTAAAAATATTTCTCCCATAAGATCACTTTAATAGATCATATGTTTGTTATTTTTTTTAAATTTTTTAGTAAACATATATTCACTTATCAAAATTTTATGTATAACTTTAATAATGCAAGATTAAAATAATATTCATGTAACAAAAAAACCCGAAAAACCTGAAAAATTAACCGAACCAATCCAAACCGATATAATAGTTTGGTTTAGTTTTGATAAAATCTGAACCAATCCGGTATATGTACACCCCTAACTCCTTAGAAAACAAGAAACCTTTTTTTCCTGTTTTCTTCCACTTTTCTTTATTATCGAAATTTTCTGTCTTATGAAATATTCTTCAGACGAAACGTTCCCTTATTGATACTTTTAAGTCCAGTCAATTTTAAGTCCCTTATTTGATTAACTCATCTCTTAATTTTTTTGATTTTTCATTAAAGAAACGATGGCTTCATTGATGGAATTTGTATGCAGTATAGTCGTTTCCAAAAAAATAATCGATTTTTTTTCTTATATTAACATATAATATGGAGTATATGTCTTTTACTCTAATTATTTATACGTTAAACGCCCTTTATTGATCTGTATCTATGTGAATCCAAGTCCTGGTCCAAAGTTTCTCTTACCCAAATTTATATTGGTATGTTAATTAGAGTACACCCTCCGGGTTGAATCACCTCTTAACCCGATAAACACAATCGGGATTTTTACCCAAATAGTCGGCCATGTTCACTGTTTATTTTAGTATATACATATATTTTACATTAATTATATATGATTATACATATATAATATATGAATTATGCATATATTATACCTCCACCGACTATTTTTAGTTTAAGCAGTTAGATGAACGACTATTGATATTTATTTTAAATCTGAATAAATCATTTTTGTTTGACCTCCCAGTACGTATTTGCTTGAATTATCTAATAATACATTTTTAACGTATATTTATTGGATTGACATAAATTATGAGTTTTATTCATGTGAACTCCCCACTGTTTACTTAAATTAGGTAGAAAACACATATTTAGTGGACCATCAACTTTTCTCGAGGCTATATAACCCCCTTTAGAACTATCCTCCAATGCTTCACTTCATCAATTCTCTACTCCTTTCTTAGCTTCCATACCATTGTATTTTCAGCTCAAAAAGATGAAGTTACTTCTAGCAACTCTGCTTTTGTTCACTCTTGTTCTTACCCCTTCTTTCATTCAAACAACTATGGCTGGTTCAAGTAAGTAACAGTTTCTTAGATCATCTTACAGTTTCAGCCTCTCTTTTTTTCTTTCTTTTTGTTTTTGTTTTACTGGTCTAATGATGAGTTACATCGGAAACAGCCTCTATAATTAAGGTCCGCATATACACTATCAATGGCCGAGGCAGGATGTCTATAAGGTTTTCAAAAAAGAAAAAGTTAAACAATTAAAAATGATTATGGCTAGTAGAAATTGAACTTGTGAACTCACAAAGATTTTGAACCGTTTTGACCATTGAGCAATGCTTTTGAGCTAGGTCAAAATATAATATATAGAGGTCCAAAACAGATTTTGCGTTATATGTATAATTTTCGGTGAACCCCCTTCAATCCGCATTGTGGGACTATACTGGATTTGTTGTTATTGTCGTTGTTTGTTGGTCTAATGATGAGTTTGGGTTGTGTTTTTTTTTAATTTTTGGTAAGGTTATTGTGATTCAAAGTGCAAGTTGAGGTGCGCAAAGGCAGGAGTAATGGATAGATGTTTGAAGTACTGTGGAATTTGTTGTGAAGAATGCAAGTGTGTGCCTTCTGGAACTTATGGAAACAAGCACGAGTGCCCTTGTTACAGGGACAAGAAAAATAATAAGGGCAAGCCTAAATGCCCTTGAATTTCACTGCTCTTTTAACCAACTTTTTGTGTCCCAAATATATACAGAAATGCAGAAATCCCATGTTTTGAACCCTGCAAATGGTCCATTCCTCTTTAAATATCAGTTTTCTAGGTATGCTAGTAATATATAGTGTCAAGTTTAGAATGAATAAATGCTATTACCAATAAAAGGGGGCTCTTTTGAGCTCTCTTATGTAATTTACATGCTCTGTTCCATTTATAAGTTGGTCATCTTTACATTTTAAATGTACTGGGTTTTGAATTTTATAATTAATTTGCAGTTTGCTAGCTTAGTGCCACTAATTTGCGGAAGATTTGGATCACGGTCGTGCATTACCTTGGAAGAGAACGATTTTATCCTTTTAACGTAACATATTACATGTGAATCTGAATTAATCACTAGTGAATTTTGAATATAGATTTTAAATGTAAAAAAAAAAAAAAAAAAAAAAAAAAAAATGTATTCGGTGCTTAAAATATGGCAATCTGCACCTTTAATTGCAGCTCAGAGCGAGAGTATGACAGAGATCCATTCATTGATTTGGTGTAAATATTAAATTTTTATCTATACCGGATAAAGACAGTAGGAGACGAACTACCACGTCACATGCTGCTGTATTGCGTATTCAATGTGGCATGTGCTTGCTGGTCTCTGACGTACTCACAAGATGAGCAGACTACTCTGAATCAGTTTTAAAAGACGTGAGCGTAAGGCGGGGCGTAAGCTTCGAGGCGCGGGGCGTAAGCCCCATAGGTATTTAATTTTTAATATTTTATAAAATAATATAATGACAGTTAAATATTTATAAACAGGTAAACTTGCATAAAAATTGAAGAAAACTATATATATGTGTGCTCCATCCCCACAAAAAAACTAATCAAAACAATCAATTATACGTTACTTACAAGCACAAGTAATTTGAGTCTAAAAGAATAAAGTTTTCTATATGGAAGAACAAACAGGATGATTAACCTGCAATTTGAACTTTGAATTTGCTGCTATGAAGAAACATGTAGTTCTCTTTGTATTTGTAACAAAAATTAAATATTCGTTGCTTTTGGGAGATATTAGCAGACTAGCGGACAAGATAAAAAATTGAAAAAATCATGAATTAGGGCTTAAATCAATAAAAAAGTTCTTTACTTTTAAATTTAATATTTTTGAGTTCCTTTTTAAACCTTTTGAGTAATTATCAAACTGACTTTTGAGAATTTGGGTATTATATGAAATACTAATTCAACAAATTTTATTTTAATTTGAAAAAATCTCTTGGGCTTATTCCTTACTAAAAAAACGCGCCCCGAACGCCCGAGAGTACGCCTCTTGATACTTTCGCCCCACACCATTGTCCCGGGACGTTTTTGGTATGCCTCGCCCACGTCTTTTAAAACAGAGCTTTGAATATGAAGCAGCATAAAACATAGTAGTAGATGGTTCTAAGACTCGTTTAAACCAAGGACTGATCTATTTTACTTCAATTCTAATACAGAAAGATGTGACTTCAGGAGTGGATTCTCCTTTCCTTCCACGCAATCGAGGTGAGATGCATGCTAGTTTGGGAGAATTTGCCTAACCGATTGGTTATATATTTGATTGAAACTTAAAAAGAAAAAAATAGGTGCGTTAAAAATAATTTTTGAAAGTTGAAGTTATGCTGGATTTGCATTTTATTTGAAAAAAAAAGTTTGACGTTTTGTGAGTGAAAAAAAATTTTTAATCCAAAAACTACCCTAAACAGATGCGATCACTATCTTAGTCTAAACAGATTCATGACACCGCTGCAATCACCACCTCTTTTTTTTTTTGACAGCAGATGCGAGGTCAATATAAGTATATATTTCTTCAAATAATATAATCGCGAACATCTGATCTAACAAGTAGTCAACTGAAGTTGTAGGTTGAATAGAGCAGCAATAGCACAAGGCACTAATCAAATATCAATCATCGCAGACATAGTTGAGTAATTTGAAGCTCTGAGATCACATAATTCTAGTGCTATTGCTTGCAACTCTATCAAACCAAGTAAAATCGCGTGGAAGTTTAAAGAAATCAGAATAGATAATGTTGGGGACAGATTCTTGAGCCAAAGAGCTGCAGAAGATGACCCCTCGACTTGGTCTCTAAAAAAGTTTTAAAAATAGTAAAAGCACCTAAACTTCTGAAATAGTTAAAAGATGAGGGTGATGAGTTGAGATCTCAACTAGCAGAAATAGAATGCAGTTTACCCACATAGTTGATAGTTGGCCATGTAAAAGGTGAGAGCTGTCAAAGAAATATTTCTAACTGCAATTACATTAAGCAAAGAATGAATATTGTAAGGTACTTATTCAAGAATGCTTACAAGCCCTATATATATATTATATAACAACCAACATGGATAGAACCAAAAATATACAGTACGTACGCTAAGATGCATACTCAGCTTTATGATCCTACAAGTTCAAATCTCTAACGTACATAGAAAACAAACAACATACGACAGAACCACGATACTAGATGCTTCTAAACCCAAAATTCCATCAGAAAAATGTTAAAGGCACAGTGTCAACTACTCCCGAGTTAATTATACCTGTCGCTTGTACAATCTTGTACAATGTAGAGGTTCCTTCTTGCTACACAACCGATCAAGGATCTTCTTCCCGTAAATGTTACTTTGCATTGATGCAGAATTCATGTAGATTAGCTTACAGAGAGCATTGAAGATGTGGCCCTGCTCAGTCAAATGCAATTGTTATATTAGCTGGCGATATGGATTTTAAACAAACAATATAGAATCAGTATCAACATTGTTTGAGTGATACTGAGGTTTAAGCAAAAAGGAAACCGAGATAGGTTATTGTTTTTCAGTAGTTTGTAACTCTACAGAAGCTTACCGTCATTTAGTAGTTTGAATTTGTAGATGTGAAACTATCATAGACAGAAAAGAGTCAAATATGGAGACATATTCTAACCGAGTCAAAATAGGATTGATGTTTTGCAGTGAAAAGTAGATCAATATCGCTATTCTTGCCTGTCTCGGCCACATGTACTACTCATCAGAAGCCTGTCTCCGACCTGACTTTAAACTAAGACCAGATCCTAGACAAACATTAAGCAAGGCTTTCCCCTGTAACCATCGCTTTAGCTCCAATAATGCGTTATTTTACACCTATGGTTGATAAAAATATATGCATCGAAAAACTTTTGCACCAATCTATTGCTTTTATAGCTTCTGCATGTCACAAGAGTAGGGCACTGAAAAAGGTTGACAAGAAGATAAATTGCATCCTCATCTCTACAGAATATGCAAGTCACATAAGGCCTAAAACAAAGATCCTATATTAACATCATATGATTTGATTACCTTGTTCACTTATTATTAAAAAAATCCGGGGAAGAAAAAGAAAAAAGAACCTAAGAGTATATGCTTTCATGAGATCCAATGATGGTGCCAAAGCTGATCACTGAAGCACATAGGAAGGGTCGGCATATCCACTACCTACTATCATAGGTTGGTTTCCGAAGCTCTTTACTTATAGTAACCACTCTTTTTTATTAGGTGCATACATTTGTAAAGGTTCTCCTACTTCCCTTATACTGCAGGGAGAAATTCTAGGCAGTAGGACATAATCTACATATATAGTAACTAAAACTAAACACGAAAATCGTAACAGTAGAAAAAAACCTCCCTGATAGAAGAACAACTCTTGATCATGCCATCCAATTTTGCTTTGAAATATAAATCATCGGCTACTCAGAAATATACTACTGGGAGTAACTTAAACATCATAGCTTGGCACAACTTTTCGATATGCATCTTCAATGTAAATACTAAACGTGTCATTGATGCAAATTGAATTAGCTAAAGCTCCAGTTGTGGTTGCCCTTCAGATTATCTTCCACAATCTTACAAGTCTAAATAGCTCATAATAGTCGAGCGTATTATGTGAAAAGACGTAAGCATTGCTGAGAAAAGGAGTACCCCTAAAGGCTAGACAACAACAACAACAACCCAATGTAATCTCACAAGTGGGGTCTGGGGAGGGTAGGATGTACGCAGCCTTACCCCTACCCTAGAAGGGCAGAGAGATTGTTTCCGATTACCCCTAAAGGCTAGAAGGTTGTTTTAATCTAAGCTGAATTAGCAGCTTCAGGTGGCTGGCTCATTTTGTTTCATATACGATAAGTAGGCTCAAAGTTCAAGGAATTTAGTGAAGTAAACTTACCTTTGAAACTTGCAATGCTGTCTGGATGACAAAGTTACCGTAAGGGTCCACTAGGAGCATTGAAGCACTTGGACTTCTGAGCAACTCGGCAATAATTTTTGTGGAGTGCTCTTCTCCGGACTCGAGGATGATTTTCTCAACAACATTACTAGCATACTTATTGCATGAGAGAGTCACAAAGCTTCCTTGAAGCCTTTCCAGTAAAGTTTCAGTAACTCTTGGTAACTTCAGTCCCACAAGGTGTTGCACCACATAGTTGCTAGATGAAATGGAACGTAAAAGCAATGAGACCTATATAGCAACTTGACACTACACATTACATAACAACCAGAAAAAAGAACATGGGTCATACCCGTATTGATCTTCTGATAGATGCACTGCATTTGTCAAGATCTCAGTTATAAGGCGATCTCTGAGTTCTCCATGAGAGAATTCTACACATGACTGAAGCACACAGCACCCACTTTTTTGGGTTGCAATTGTAAAGCAGTTATTTGCAATTTCATTGAGAAGATGCTGCAATATGCAGTTCAATTGTGAGATAGTTGGTTCAGCCAGAAACCTAAGTTAAACAGGAGCACTAATCTAGCTAATGGAAGAGGCAGGAAACACGGGAAAGCACCTAGCAGTTTATACAAAGATGAGGGGCATGAGGCAGTTTGTTAGCAAGTGGTCTAGTTATTCTGTACTAATATGAATAAAGCATGTATATAAATTACATTCAAACAAAATAAGCAAGCAAGAAAATAAAACCCTAGTCTTGAGGAATTTGTGCACAACGTGAACTTGTGGAGAGACTTGGAAAGCAGCTCAGTGCCTTAAATGACAGCTTCCAACTTGAGCGATAAAGGAGTACTAGTTTAGCTATGGAAGTTGTGCTGAGCAAGTGCCCCAATCTGCAGATGGACAACTTTAAAAAGAAAAGGAATATGAGGGTGAGGAAAAGGAGTGATTGCAGATCACATGTCTATGTTGTATCAAACTTAATTTAGGCAAGTTAATTCTTTTGATGGCATTTGCTTTAAGGGTGTGGGTTTTTCACATGCCATTCTAGAGTTAGTACCGCGGAAAAGATTTCTACA